AACAAAAAGCAAAGAAAAAAAAAAAAACAAAAGAACAAAACCGACCCACCGGTCTCGAACATGATAGATAATAGATCGACGGTGACAGTAAAATACTACGGTGGCAGTGGAGTGCAAACGGGAAAAGAGACTTCGGGTGCTGACGGTTCCTCATTTTAATTTAAATTAAGATGTATTTATTTTTTCGTATAATTTTACTCGGTTAATTAAGTTAAATAACTAGTTAAGATAAGAATAAAGTTACTTTAAAGAGGACTAGTACATAGGTCATGGATAACACCTGTGGACGAAATAGGTGTAGAATGCATCCGACTCCGCATGCGTCTTAACGGCTGTCAACCTATAATTTTATCTTTATTATATCTGCGTATCGATGTTTATCTTTACATTTTTCAAGGTTGTATGACTGTTTTATGACAATCTTTACTCAATGCACTGATTACAGTCATTTCTATACTTAACGCGACATCCAATCCTTCGGCCTCGTGCTCCATGACATGCAGAATACCCCCAGTCAGATTAACAATTATATATTTATGTTAAATTTCTATAATTTTGTACAAAATTACTAATATACAGTTATACCCGCCAATCCGGCCCTATCTGATCTTCAAGTTACTTAAGTCCTCCCCTATCTGGGCCTGAGTCATTGACCCGCCTAGAGCTCGGCTGAAGGAGACCACAGAGAGCTTCTCCGGAAGATTCTCGTACTTGATCGCAATATCCAACAAGGTTGCCGCAGAAAGAGTGCGGAGTCGAACACCACTTAAATCATAGTCCACGTTATCCTGGTAGGTGAAAGCTGGGTCCGACGTCGAACCATCCGGCAACGGCATTGGCCCACACCCAGGCTTGAGTCGTCTTTCGGCAAAGGTGGCAAGGCTTGGAATATCTCGCACATGACTATTTACAGTCTCGGACGGGAAAATTATTCCCAAGAATTCGGTGACCGACATCGTGCCTCGGAATCCCACAATGCCTAGCACTGCGAAATACCGGTCGAGGACTAGTTGTACCATGGTGCTCGGTAGGTCAAAGACCTTCTTCAGAACGGGCGGGTTGGAGTCCGGTTCGAAATATATGGTTCCGCGCCCGTCCTCGCGAGGATACGTCTCATCGAAATGGATGTATAGGGGTTCAAATGGTCGTCGGTGGTGTACCAGGCCGGCATCGACGAGATGGCTGGAGAGTCTAGCCAAGCGGGTATCATCGATTGTATGTTGATGTTTCCTCTCTAACAGCGTGAAGTGAATGCTTGAGTGTAAAGTGGTATAACTCGATTTGAGAGACACCATACGATCTTCCAGAGCCTTCAGACTCTCAACGCTCTCCTTAGGATCCGCAGCCGCACGTGCAAATGTCCGGCCTACTTCGTCAAGCTCAATTGTTATGTCGGCAAGCTTTTGGCGGAAGTGATTCGCTAAGTTGTCCCTGGCAAGCTTTGTGTATGCTAATGATCGCTTTCGAATTATTGCTTTGGCTTTGGGGTCTGTGGTGTCGTAGCACGAATCAATACCCAACTTATCTGCTTCTGCGATGTCCACCAAGAGTTTCTTGTGCATATGAGTCGACACTCGAGGCTGATATGGTTGCTCAAGTCTCGTGCCGCGGGTAACCTGTGGCACCAGTTCCAAAGGAGGAAGCTCTCTGGTGGCTGGAGTGATAATGTTATTTGCCGCAGCTCTTTCAGCTACACGCTCCCTGATCTTGTTCAAGTCATCCCAGCCCTGCCATTGACGAGAGCGTTCTTCTTCGGCTGGACTGGCAATCTCCATGTTGTGCAAGCCTATGGTCTCCGCGAATACGCCAGTTCGTGTGCGCTCCGTAGTGGACCGCGGTAACATATCCGAGACTTCGCTGAACGGCATTGTGGCAAGGACTCGTACGGCCCCGTACAAGTTCACATCATTTTGTTTTAAGCAGCTATTCATGTAGTTGAGGAACCAGCGGCTTGGTGTGAAATGATCCATTGTAGATTTAGCATCAGGCAGATTAGCCAGGATGAGGAGTGTATCATTCTTTGGTATAATGGCTGAGCTCTCTCGGTTCCCAGGGCCTTGTTCTGGAAGATGAGCTGCGAAGAAACCAGACCAATCAAATTTCCCATATATGGGTTCATGGACGAGCTTATAACACGGGTTGCTCTGGGCGAGCGGTTGAAGGAACTTGTAAAAATAAGGATTTGGTTCAACAAGGACATGGCGGCGTGGTCGAAGAAGTTCATTCACTTTAGATGACATGAGACCACCTCCAGGCCAAAGGTCCAGAATGTCTAGCGGTTGATTTCGGCGAAGGTAGGGCGATACGCGCTCGAGAACATTATCTGCCAGGTTCAAAGCGCATAAGTTTGTAGCCATTGTGTATCGGAGCTGAAACGCAAGACTTACCTATTAGCCCTTCACTCACGTACTGCAGTCGAGCCTTGTTTTTCCCGCGTTGTTTGGTCACCACTGGGTAAAGTTTCGCCGTCAACGGGAACCGCGCCAACGGCTTTCGGGGCGCGGTGATTTGTCTCATTAGTTAAGGTCCGACAAATACCAAGGTGAACCTTAGTATGGCATGAAGGGATAAAGAATATACCCATTGAAGGAGATAATGTGAGGGTGGTAGAATTTCCTTTGCAGTTTTTCTTGGACGTCGAAGAGCGGAGAGCGGAGAGACCTTGGGAGCTTGCCGCTCCCATCCCACCTCTTCTCCCCTCACCATTATCTTCGTCGCCTAGATGCAGCTCCTACAATTGCCGCTGGTCTTTCCAGGTTTCGGAGATTCCTACCATCTCACTATGCTCTTTGACGTTTGATTTACGCTTAACTTCATCGTCTTGGCTTCCTAATCCTCGCCTACCCTTGTCTGAGCGTACCTTTCTGCCATGCCTTCCAATGCGATGGGAGGTGCCACTGGAGGTACTCCCCCTCAAAGTGTTGAGCATATTACGCGGATAGCACAGAACTACGAGTACAACTCTTCCGTTCCATTACGGTATTGGCTGAGGACCGCCGCGACGCTTTTACGTGAGGTTGGTTATACCTGTTGCCTGAATTTGACTCACGACAACTTTCAGACTTCCAGACTTGTTAACCTTCCTTGAATTGTTAGGCGCACATATATGAACGCGAAGGACACGATGAGCAAGCCTATCTCATTCTATTTCGACATGCTCAGCTCATCCTGGTCCATCTTTCCAAGCACCCCGATACCAAAAAGAACGAGGAAGATCGCAAGGCCTTGGTGGCAGCCGAGAAAGAGGTTGAGAAAAGCCTTAGCAAGCTGGAGATTCTGAGGCCTCGTATCAATAAGCGGTATGAGCGTTACACTCAGTTGATTCGGGAGCGCGAATCTCGGAAACAGCCCTCACGAACCAAGATCGTCGCCGAACCACGAGAACAAGTCGCCGATCCCGCTCTCGCCGGCGTGGCAGAGCCTTTGGAAGCTGGGGAGAATCGAGATCTCGCCGTGCAGTTAGCCCAATCAGAGTTCAACCGCCGAGCTACCGTTCGAGGCTCAAAGGGTCTTTCCGGCCCATCTGCCGAAGAGCTGGAAACTCGCCGCGCAGCTGGCGTATGGGGCGACTGGGACCATTCTACCAAATCGGATCCTCGCGCGGCTGATCGCGACCTCGGTCAACGAGTTCAGAATATTAGGTCCAGTCTCGATCGTACAGATCAACCTTATGGTCAACGTGCGAAAGAGTCCGAGGTTCGTTCATCAGCTACTTCTGCGTACAATTATCCAACTGTGCCGCGTCAGAAGCCTCTGGAGCCCACTGTGTCTCCAGGCAATATTGCCATCCTCGATAAGAACGCCGAACGCCAGGCGCCTCCGATATTGCCTCCGAAGGAGCACCTTGAGCCTAGCCGGGCATCTATTGTCAATGATTCTGCAACAGCTATCGCGCCATCGCGGCCAGCGAAGGTATTGCCTGGCCCGGCGCTCCCTGAGAAGATCCAAGCTTCCGAACAAGCAACCGTTACGCATTCAGATCTCGATCCCTCGAGTTACACCTTCAAACCCTCAGCCTATCTCGAAAATGGCACCCCCCTGCGCTCGGTATTTTTGCCAGCGAGCCTCCGATCCCGCTTCTTATCTCTGGTTACTCCTAACACCCGCGCCAACCTCGAGACATGCGGTATCCTGTGTGGTACCCTTGTTTCCAACGCGCTCTTCATATCCAAGCTGGTCATTCCCGAGCAGACATCGACATCAGACACCTGCGAAACGGTTAACGAATCCGCTCTTTTTGATTACTGTGACTCGGAGGATTTGATGACGCTCGGCTGGATTCACACCCATCCGACACAGACCTGTTTCATGAGCTCCCGTGATCTACACACGCACTGCGGTTACCAAGTGATGCTCCCTGAGAGCATTGCCATCGTGTGCGCTCCGAGCAAAAGCCCCGATTGGGGTGTGTTCCGACTGACTGATCCTCCGGGTCTAAAGTCGGTTTTGAACTGCCATCAGACTGGTTTGTTCCATCCACATGCCGAGGAGAATATCTACACCGGGGCCTTGCGACCAGGACATGTCTTCGAAGTCAGTGGGTTGGAATTTGAGACGGTCGATCTTCGTCCGGATGCATTAAAGAACTAGTGACCTTGCGTTTGCTCGATACACACTAAGATACCATCATCGTCGCATTGATCTGACGTTTATGACATTTCATATCAAGGTTTTTTTCTAGAAGGGTGGCGTTGCCAATTATGTCAATAGCGTTGAATCTAGCTATTTGCACTATTTGCATGTGATTCTAATTGAAATATTTCTTTCCAGTTTATATTGACGACAATGGTAGTTGATAGATCGTGGATCTATAGCAAAGTTCCTTTGACGAACATTTATCGTCTTGGCAACCTGAGTGTACCTACTATTTAGCAAGTCAATTGCTAGTTACATATCTCTTTGATCTGAATCCAATAAGAGCCAAGAACTTCTCTCGTAATCATGCCACGCCTTACAAGGATGCCCAGGTGCGACAGCTTGGCTGATTTCCCCACATGATAACTGATAACCGTCTCAACTTCCACTCCGCATTCCTACTTCTCTACTCTTTAATCTTTCTCTAGTCTTCACCCAACATCTCTCGTCAATTGATTCGAATTGCTCGCATGTCGTCCGCATCAAAAGAAAATATTCCCTCCGACATCCCCACCTCCTCCACCTCCACCGCGGGATCAGCATCCCAGACACCCACTGAAAAACCACCCTACCAATCCGCCGCCTCCTACTTCTCCTACCCAGTCAGCCACGTCGTATCAGGACTATACCGCCGCATAACAGACCCAGACCTAACAAAACAAATGCCCTCCGTCATGCCATGGTCACGGTCCTCCTCCTCATCCGAAGTCTTCACACCACGCCGAACAGCTTCACCCTTCCAACCACCACCACTCACACCCCTCACCCTCGAAATTCCCACAGGAGTAGACCTCCTCCAGCAGCAACTCCTAACACGCGCCCTAGCAGAAGAAATCAGACTACTAGTGCCACCCCGCCTCCAACTCGCCGAAACCTGGCGTCTGGCCTACAGCCTCGACCGCGACGGTGCCTCCCTCTCCACCCTCTACGAGAACTGCGCCCAGTTCTCGCACCGCAGCCCGCGGGCGGGCTACGTCCTCGTGATCCGCGACTCCTCCCCTTCCAGCTCCGTCTTCGGCGCCTATATGACAGACGCCCCACACCCGGACTCGCAATTCTACGGCACAGGCGAGTGCTTCCTCTGGCGCGCAAGCGTGCTCCCGCCCCCGGCAAGTTTCCCCCTCGTCCTACCAAGCGAAGGACCCCAGTACGAGGAAGCCCTTGAGCGCGCTGGTCTCCCTCCTCCCCCATCCGCCGATACCACTACCGCCGCACGCTGGAGTACCCTGCGCAACGACAAGTCGAAACCTGCGCAGGCGGAATCCCCGGCTCACAATCTCAATATGAATACTAAAACCAATCTCGCGGCTGCGAGCGGTGGAGTCCTGGCGCCTCCGTCGCCTTCTTCCATTCATACCCCTTCACGGAGTGGTGCAAGTACCCCTGAACGCATTCGCTTCAAGGCTTTCCCGTACAGTGGGGTTAATGATTATATGATCTTCTGTGAAACTGGATTTCTCAGTCTAGGAGGCGGGTGAGTGATGTCTCTGGAAGGTTATTGTGCTTGGCTAATGTATGGGATAGTGATGGCCACTACGGACTGTGGCTTGATAGCAGTCTCGAAAAGGGTGTCAGTTCATCCTGCCAGACCTTTGGCAATGAGCTTCTATCCGATGAAGGCGTCAAGTTCGATGTTCTTGGGGTGGAGGTGTGGTATGTCGGTTCTTGAACAACCGCATCTGTACAGCCTGACACCTTACACTGAATGTAAAAAGCGCCTGTCTGTGTCAGGGGGGATATACGTATTGAGGGGAGATTTGTTTCGATATAGACAGGGCCGACAGGTGCGGACTTTGGCATTCATCGAGATTGAATATCCGGATACCTCAAGAAAATGGTCTTTGGGTTTATCTAGTTCATCTTCATGGCTCTTCAAATACCCGGACGGCGATGTGGTGCTGGCTTCTCTGCATTCTTGACTCTGCTTTGTCATATACCTTAATTTACAGTGCTCTTCCATATCAGAAACAGAACGATGCTCTTCTAAACCGTAATCATACGACATAAACAAAATACAAGACGTTTGAGAAAATGTCAGTAATGACATAAAGCACAAGAGGATCGCCGTTAATACTTGCTATTGGAACCAGAGAGATGCTCCATTATAAATGGCCTGCTGTTCCATTTATAGTCAGGTTAAAAGCCAAGGCTCGACATCAAGCCACCATTTCCTATATAACATACTCTCCACCATTCCGTAAAATACGATATGGCGCACTGGCTATGCACTGCCGTACTAGACATACTGGGACATGAACATTACGGAGTACGTACAAGCTAAATGTTTTTCCTTTTTTTCATTTTTCGAAAGCAATCCCTCCATATTCACACATATCCTGGATTGAACCAACGAGGTATTCAACCTGTAGACCTCCATACGATTCCCTTCCCTTATTCCCTGCCGCCCCCTTTTCCTTTTCGGATTTTCCTTTGTTTTCCATTATGTCGACTTTCCACGATTCTCAATGTGAGATGGGAACTTGATTGTTACACCCTCACCTCTTTCAAGGCGTCTCGCAACACTCGCGATACGTCGCTCTTCCGCAGTACGGTGCGCTGCTCCAGAGCCTGGCTGTCTGGGTGTCTCACGGCCGAGCTTATAGTCAGCCAATCGCAGCTCCTATATCGCATTCAGTAACCACTCGAATAGGTAAATGTAAGCTTCATACCTCTGGAGAGAAACATTTGAACTTGTCGTGGTAACAGATTGAATGGTACCGATTGTTCATGGTGAGGCCAGTATCGCAAACAACCTTCTCCTCCCAATACCAGTTCCTATCGAATCAAACCATGTTAGCCGCTTTCTCGCACAACAAGGATTTAGAATAAGACCGCATACTTACTGATCGTGGTCGCGGGTGTCTGGTGTACTGAATAGACTAGGTCGAGCACGGGGAGACCAGAACGAGCTAGGCGAAAATGTTTGAGGAAGCGGAAGTGTAACCCGGGAGAATGCAGGTGCACCAGAAGAGCTTGCATTGGGGTTCGCAACCGGGAAAGATACAGATGGAGCACTCGCCATCCCAGGATTTACCGCACCGGGATTCGAGCCGAATGGACCACTAGGGCAAGACGTGATTGGATTCTGCATGTCGGACGCCGGGCTGTATGGCCATGAAAGTTGATACCTGGGCGTTCCATTCTGGCCTTGAACTCTAGAATCCACACATAGTACACCGAAAGGATTGGCAGATGCGCCATCGCGCAGGATTCCTTGGGGTATGAGGAATGATTGGAGAGATGAACGCCCATGAGCTGGCCCTAATCCAGCCGGCTTGGTTGCTCCAATATATGGGAGTGTTTCCTTTGCAATCTTGAATTGATTCAATGCTCGCACCGCAGTTTCCAACTTCTTCAACTCACTACTCAGATCGGCTCGCGAATTCTGTACACCATCGTGTACACCAGCGAAAAGCTCCTCGATCTGGCTGTCTTCCATGTTGGTGATGGTCTGAGTTGTCAAGACGCTATTCAGAGGGCCGAGAAGGCAATTTTCGATCGCGAGAGTTGTAATGTTGTCCATGAAGATCAAAAGAGCATTCTATTTGTCGTCAGTATCTTGCAGACAGTAAGACTAGATTGTCAATGATTGGTTATCCTAACTCACGTTGTAGTATGATTGCAACTGGTCGATGATGTCCGAGGCTACGGACAGATTGCTGGATGATTCCATGTTCTGAGTGGCCGCCTTCAGCTCTTCAATAGTGAAGGTATTGTTTAGAGTCGAAGAAAGGTTCTGTTGAAGGTCGGCCAGCAGGCGATCATTCCTGGACTTTTGCATCTTGGCAAGAAAGCTTCGATCAAGAGGCAATGCATGCCCTCGCTTGTGGGAAGCAGTCAACTCATTTACCTTGGCCAGGAGACTGTCTTGCATTCTATCAAGCTGGGGTCGAATGATAGTTTTCATTATTGCCGTAGAGGTGTGTTCATCCGTAAGGTGGTTTAGTAGAACCGATACAAAGTCCTGGGTGGTCTCCCATGACTTCATCAAATGGGCTCGAGCGATTTCATCCCAGGGCTGCGATTGGTCTCGAAACAGGTTACCCACCAGTAGCCGACTGGCGTTCCCTGGAAATTCAACTCCTCTATCGCGGCGCATTTGTTCCATGACCTCAAGTTCGAACTCTGAGCGGCTCCTGTGCACAGGCTGTCTGATATTTGCATAGGGGTTGCAAGGGTGCAGTAACGGGGTGATCTGGTTGTTGACCCCATGAATGAATTGACGACACCCGGCAATTTCCATTACATCTGCGAAATGCTCGTTCAAGTCATGAATGATAGCACGAAGACGTCGAGGTTCACGAGCCGTAGGTTTGCCATCATCAACTGGGGTAGCAAAGAAGTTGTCTGTGTACATGCCAGTCAATGCTTGTTCGGTTATGCGCTGGAAAGCGCTACTCAAATTGAAAAGCAGTGCTTTTTGTTGATGAATCGTCTCTCGAGGAGTGCTGAGCTTGGACAGCCTCGATTGGATCTTCAGAGTCCTTTTGTCAATTTCAGAAACCAGGCCAGGGAGGCTGCTTTGAACGTGATTCACAAGAAGAGTACTGAGTCGACGCCGCAAATTGTCAGTCCCTATGGATTGTCTTGGCACAGTTTTCCAGTCTCCTCGCTCGAAGAACTCCTTCTCCTTCTCATCTCTCTCTTCATCTGGCACCTCGCGTGTCTCGTACGATCGGGTGCACACCAAATGCAAACCCAGCGGCGGTTCGGATGTTGCTTCTTTGACAGCCTTCAGCCATAACTTTTCCTCGTCTGACGATTCCTCGAGAGTATCGAGGTGAGTGACAATTCCCAAGATCCGTTTTCGTTCTCGATCATACTTGTCCGCGAAATCAGTTATCTTTTGAGCACAAATATCGATTTTTGCGGATACCACAGCGAGGATGATGCTGCGTGCATTCAACACGTATTTCTCAATTCGAAGACGACCAACACTCTTGCCTCGATTTCCAGCGTCTATGCCTTCTGTGAAGTAGAGCCTGGGCATATCGATAAGGGTCAGGTTAGGTTGATCGGGACCGGAAAGCTCGACTCTCATGACGTCGTCACTGAATCCATCCTCGGCGGAGGGTCTAATGAATCCAGTAGCCTTCTTAATCAGTGATACTGACTGTTCAGTAGTGGGATGAGCAGTGGCCACCAGTGGCTTGAGTCGCTGGAGGTCTTCGTTGCTCTTTCTCGACGGACCAGGCTCGATGCTCACTTGGAAGCGAGTAATCGGATGGCGACGTAATATGATCTCCGTGACGAAACCATTGTGAAAATCATTTCTCACTGGAAAGCCGACGCGAGAAATTGCCTCGATAACAGAGCGTTTAGCGTTGGACTTGGAACCACAGATAATCATCTGTGGCAAGCCAACAGACTCACCAACACCCATGCCTCGGAGTTTATCGATTGCATTGAGGAGCAGGGGGACTTGGTCTGGCTGTAGCTGAGGGAGAGCCCCGCCATACTCCGCTGGACCAGCCATGGTAATATTTAGATGTAGCAGGTAGCAATGAAGATAGAACGACCTGTCTGTGGTTGATGACAAGATGGATAAAGGATATGGGAAGATGGGAAGAAGCAAAAAAAGGAAAAACAAGGGAAGGGAAGACGAGTCATTTTATATCCATGGGGGCAATCGACGGCCTTAGGCTATGTAAACGTCAACAAAACCGCAACCTTAACGATCGCCGCGGCGACATCGTGGATGTTCTAGTATATGCCTCTATAAACATCTACATTGGTACCCTCCCTATTGCCGTAGTACCATTTCGCACACGTTTGGTTGGAGCTGTTAGTCGTCTATTCCAACCCTCTACTCTCCCAGTACAAAGAAGAGCTTACTAGCCATTTTCTGTCTGTACCGCGATTATTGACAGTGCTTTTATGTACTCCTATCATCAGTTCATGCTCTGACTCGCAGTGAGGTGGGTGCTAAAAGAAATGCATCTGTGAATAGTCAATAAACTGCACAGGTCATAGGGTAGATGTTGAACAACAAGGAACATGGCTGGCAGTGAGGTCTACCTAGTAGTTAAATGTAAAAGGCAATTATGGATGGTATTGCTCGCATTCCTTCATCTCCTAACGGCGGTTACCAATGCTTTGTGGATTTTGAATGAGAGCGGAATGGATTCGTGGAAGATATTTCAACTCCAACTGTAAGAATGACTGTTGCTTTGTCTCTCAGACCTAGGGCTGTTTGCTTTGCATTCCTTTGTTATCTAGGAATATAAGGACCTAGGATGCTTCCCATGGATCAAAGGTCCCGGGTTATACATATATATCTTCTTCTCATATCTATGTTATTATAGACTAGATCCCCTACCTTTGAACATTTGCTTGTCCTCGGTCATGATGCTCAAGTATGGATCGGATATGCTAAGCGTTGTTTCTTTGTTTTCCCTGAGACCGAAAATGCGGACATAGAGGAGCCTCACTCGTAATGCACCCTTGAGTTACCCGTTGAATGCTGCACCGGATCCTTGAATGCCTTCCTAATTGACCAAGCTTATTTTTCTTTGACCTGCCGCGGATTCTACTACTTTCCAAGATCTAAGAGCGACTCGATTCCTAGCCACAGACGGCAGTTCTCTCCCAGATTTATTTCATGAAGACACCCTGAAGTGACCAATCGACGCCACAACATGGGCTCGAAGGCTTGCTTTTTAGCGGTCTCTTACTTCGCCGATGGCTTCATCCGGGACTGCCACAAGATCAGCTACAAGCTGAACATGCTGTCGTGGAGACTCCTAAATTGCCTGAATAGTGATACAACAGTCCACAACCGCCTTTATAAGCTGCTGGATTAAATTAGGGACCGGGTGCCTGAATGATACGCTTGATGGCTCTCTTTGTAGCGGCCTCTTGCACGCCCGTATTGAAGAAGTACTTTATAGGCTAACCTGAGAGAACAACCCATCACCCGAGGATCGCCAAATGACGATCGAAAAGCTAGGCCGACTTTCAATCGATGTCCACAACATTCGAAGCGCGGGACATGCCATGTTTGAGCATGTCCTAGGCTGCCAAGTGTGAGAGAGCGGCCACTTACTTACTTTGTCGGCGGTTTCATCGGGGACTGCAAGTTACAAGTTACACATGCTATCGTGGAGGCTTACGAATCGCCCGAATAGCGACAAGACGGTCCACGATCGCCTCCTTAAGCTTCTGGAGTCCGTTCGGGACCGCGCCCCCGACATTTCGTCTATGTTGGCTGCCACTTCACTCGGTGTTCTGAGTTCGCGCGCTGGGAATGTCCAGCTTTGATTCAATTCAAATTCCTCACAAGTTGCTTTCGGACTAGCACCTGGCAGTGGTCATATATTTTCCTGAACTAGCGCTTGATATCAAAAACAGTTTCAGAAGTTCCTATCCCAGAATTTGTTTGTCGATTATGCACTTCATGAATAAACGGTGCTGTATCCTTTCTAAAGTCGGTCGCCATAGTAGTTCAGCCTGGCGGCCGTAGTCCCGACCATATTGACCTACAGAGTTCCCACGCATCCTTTGACATCTATGATTTATGTAGGTGATAAACTTTAACCTAAAGATTCTTATTCAATTTAATCATCTTAGCTTAAATACGAATGATAGATACGAATGATAGATAAATTATGTTATTATGTTCTGTCTGATATCATTCTGATGTAGAGCTACCGTTTTCGGATCGGGTGTAGTGCTAGCATAGATATTTATGCGAGTCATGGGATTTGACTGGATTGTATAACCTTCAGCTACTAGGCCAGATTAAGTAGGCTTTCTACAGACACTTCCATATCTAGTCTCACTAACTTCCTACCATCTCATCAAGTATTATTGAATACAATAAACATCTACTTCGCTTTAATCCTATCATCAAAATGGAGCACGACTTACTCCTCATCGTCGATGCGTCCAGTTATCACAGCTGCTATATACGCTCACTAACTGCATCACTCCCTGAAATAATTTCGGTTTCTGCTCACACGAGATGCTCTTCACGAATCGGAGTTCTAGCGTACCACAGCTATCACAGCGATAATGTCCTCGAGTGGTCAGGACGGCTGAATCAAGGCCAACATGAACACTCGCAAGGAGAACAGCCCGACATAGTCGCTTTCGCCAAAAGGCTCCGCACAAAGAAGAAATGCGAGTCCGAGATGGCTGTGAAGACAGCTCTTGCAAAAGCCTGCGAAGTCATGCGCTCGAACGCGAAACCACTAATCTTTCTCTACGCTGACACGCCCCCTATTCCAAATAGATATTCCACTGGCAGTCCTTCGAGCAGGTCGAAGGAGAAAACTGCACTATTAGCTCCGGAATCTTACTCTGGGTATGGTTTCGCATGTATTGACTGGGTGTCAGCATGTAATACCCTTCGAGACAGACCGAAACAAGCACAGGTCTTTACCATTCTCCACGAATCTATGATGGAGCGGGATGCTGCCTGGTATATCTACCATTCCACTAGGACAGATGGAACTTGTGTGCAAGTGAAAAGCCACCTCCGGGGGACATTGCTAAGATAACAGTTGATTTGTTTCTAACTTGGATGGGAGTGGAGAAAGCTCCTTCTTCAATCAAGGAAGGCCAACAACAGGGTTTTCCCGCAGAGCTGTTACGCTATATCTCGGTTAGCGAAATTGACAGCATTGAGAATGAGGAGGATGTAGCCACATTTTCATATTCTTGGAGAATGAGACGGTGGTATCGCAATGAGAACATCTCCAAGGTCAAGTTGACTACAGATGTCATCAAAGAATATGTTCCCAAAAAGACCGCCCTTATGCCAGACTTTGCCGAAGAGACCATATTTATCATCAACAGTGTCCCTGACATAGAAATGTATCCTTGCGCCTTCCTTGACCCGACATTGAACTTCCCCAACGAAGGGTATGATGCAGACGATGGGAGCAGGCCGATCTCTTATTTGACCCGATCCGAACTTTTGCAAATTGGCCGATCTTGCAACCCAGGTGTCTTTTGACGGCTTGGTGCTATTATGACCAGATTGACTGTTGTGGCATCGGCGCGTGAGATGTCCGACCACATCTCCAGTACTGATGCCGATCGTGTGGCCAAAATTCCATTGGTATTGGTAAAAGAAAAGTACAATAGACAGTTCTGGAAGGTCCTTTCACATGCCACTGAGCCGGGAACAAAGCTGCCAGCTCGATATGCTGCTCTTCTTGCTCCTTTCAGTCTGCGGATGGGGATTGTGTCACTGATGAGTAGCAGAGCAGGAGATGCTCGCGTTCAAAGACAACTGGAACGACCCTTTAATACCTCAAACATGGACTTTCGGATGCTTGACACTTCTTATTGACGCTGATGAAACACATCAGAAACAGCAAGATATGAATTTGACGGACAACCAGTCCCGGAGGTTGAACCCCACTGACAGAATACTGTTTGGCCGTCTGGTTACCAAACGTCTGGAACGGCATATCGGTGATCGACTACCAGCTCGAGTTACGAGGGTACTGCACAAAACCATCGCACTAGTCGGACCACTAGTGACATGCAGCGAGTGTCAGTATCCCCGATCCGTCACCATAATGGGCGCCAACGGAAAATACGGTCTTTGCCTCGGCGAGTATGCCAACGAGAAGCATAAGGAAAAACACGTTAATAAAGGAGTCTCAAAAACATAAATGCCGATTCGCAAGAGCACCTGGGTCGAATGTATCTCTAGATCCTGCCGCGCCCAATACGTTATCTACAACCTTATTATTGGGTGGTTTCATCGCGCGGAATGCTATTACTGTCGAAGCCAAGTCAGCCGGGACAATGGCCAGGACCCCGTCAAGCAAGACAAGTCTCCTGCCCCAACCGTGCAGTGTAACAACCGCTCAAATCGCATGATCTGGCCCGTAGAATACAGGCCCTTAGTGTTCAAAGGGTCGGATTTCACTTGCCGCTTTTGCACTTCGAGTGTGACCCAACAACAGAGCTCGGAGTGACGGCATATGACCTATTCACCGAGAACACAGTCTCTTGGCTAGTCAAAGATGCAAACGGCCCGGAAGTATACTTCCGGAAGGACTTCACTTCCCGAATCCGTAGCGAATCTAGCTTCCAAATCATTACTAGAATGGGCAGCGAGGGGTTCCTAGAATCAGGCTTTTCCCTTCATCTGAACCCCAGGTATGGTACAACGGAAAGCCCATCTTCAACTCCAAGGAGCTAGTCTCAACCCTCCAGAAGCTCGTCGCAAACGGCAAAACAAGCGACAACAAATGTTTGTTGTGCTTCAACCAACGCAGAGACTTATATCCAGCCTGTGGACGCGATGGCTGCCCCCAGCAAATATGCGCCACTTGCCTAATGCGATGGTACAAGCGCAACTCTGCAGGCTGTGCGATCAATACTATGGTGTTGGGATGTCCATCCTGCCGCCGATAACCCACCCTCCGCCTAGTGGCGAAGTCTGGGTTGAGTATTCATGCAGTTAAAGATATCGCTAAAGCAGTCCGTGATAAGGGGAAGTCCATTTACGCATGGTGCATTGAATGCGCTACCGCCAAGATGGTGATGGAGCGGAGCTGTATGCTTGGAGAACTTCTTGAATTGACGGAATGGGTTTGTGATGAGTGCCTCTGGGAGATGGTAGAAAGAGAGCGTGTCGGAGTGAGCACCATGAGATAGAAGATACATCAGATAGCGAGAACAATTATCGACGTCTCCGGAATAGGTGATTGATTGTTGGATATTTCGGTTGTGAATTGTCTGAACTAGCTACCTTTGCCGAATAAAATCTGGTTTAACTAGTGCCACCCTTTAGCTCCAGATCAAATATGGCCCAAGAAAAGGAATCTCAATTAAAGGAAGAAAGAGAGTAGTGAATGTGAAGAAGACTCCAATATAGAGATCTCCAGCGGCGTCAGAACAGCAAAAACCCTGCAAAGAAATCACAATGTTGGAAAAGATGGAAACAAAACATCAGGGGGTATGGGTAATGGTACAAAAATAGAAAATCCAGGGGCCGATGAGAGACGTAGAAGGAAACTAATGTGAAGACTAATAAGGCGAGTTGACAATGTCATCCTTGCCAAGACGACTGCTCCATCCGCTGCGCGCACGCTTTGGTGTGGCGGGACCAGCGATGCTCTCACGAGTAGGCTTCTGGAAGGTACGTTTGGCGACCATGTTCACCTCGTTCGGCAGAGCAACGATGACATTCTTGTCAGAGCCGAACCGGAAATTATCGGCCATGACATTCTCACCATACCGCTTGATGGTGTACGGGTCCTTGCGGTTCGCAATAACCTTCTTCATACTCCATGTAATAATGAAGGGACCGGTAGCGGTGACGATGCTAGTTTCCGTTGAGTCGACACCAGTGTTGAAGCGTGCCGTGGTGAACGAGAGAGGCTGTTTCGTCTCGTGTTGGAACTGGGCAACGTGTGCGGGCTGCAGGCCAAGACGGCGGGGCTGAGGCTTCGAGTCCTTCGCGAAAGCACGCTCGAATCCGAGCTTGCCTTCATTCTTGCCTTCCTTCTGCAGCGAATCGATGAGCAGAAGGTAGGTACGGCAAGTTGCCAGCACCCAGCGTCCATCTGCAGACACATCAAGACCGATGATCGGCTCGCCGAGAGCCGGGATATGTGTCTTCGCATTAATGCCCAGACGGTCGAACATGCGGATGTCACCTTTGTTGGACGCGACGGCAAGGTATCCCTTCTCAGTAGTAGCCATAGCCGAGAAGTCATTCTTGCTGGCGTACTGCTTCAGATCCGAATCGACAAGCTTGTTGCCAGAAAGCCGAGGATCGATGCGGTAGAGGGCGTTCTTGGAGACACCAACAAATGGCTGCGCGGCGGTCATTTGCGCGAATTTCTGCGGGTTTTGTCAGCTTATCCAGGGATAGATTTCAAGACCTACAAGGTAACTTACATTTTCGGGAGCAAATGTCTCCACGGGAATATCGTCATGGACCTTCCATTCGTCGACGATTTTGCCGTACTCCAAATCCATCTTGTACAGCGAGTTGGGATCATCTCCATTCTGAAGGATCATATTCTGATCCTCAGCATGGAGCATGACCTTCTTGGGGCTGAAAAGTTTGCCCTTAGGGGTCTCGACTTTAGAAATAGTCGTGGAGAATTCAAGGTTGTTGTGAGCGGTGTGCTTGAAGACACCGATCTTGGATCCGCGCACAACGAATGATCGATCATGCTTATAGCCGACTGCCAATTGTGAGTTGACGTTTCCATCTGCATCACGCGTGACAACATCTTCTTCTTCTTCATCGCTGTCGTAGTGTTCACTGCGCTGAGCATCATCCTGATCACCATCGTATTCCTCTACGGCCTCTTCTTCTTCCTCAACTTCTTCCTCTGGCTTGTCATCGGCATCTTCCATGGTAAGATCCTGGAAGGCATCAAGAACATACTCTCGGTCATTCTCCTTGACCTTAGTCCACTTCAATTCATTGAGCTGTTCCCATAGCGCCTGCATCAGACCCTCCTGGAACCGTTCTTCCGAGGCTTGGTCCTTGAATCGCAGGAGCCATGAGTAGGCCGAACCATCTTCACCGTAGTGGTTGAAGATAAACGAAAGATATTCAAAGTTGAAGACGGGGTTGATGTCGGCGACAACAGCCTGTCCTAACCAGTCCTTGTCCTTGCCAGAAACTTGGAGCCAGTATTGCCAAGTACCGATCTCCGAGACAGTCGCAACGATGTCCGACTCCTGGAGCACAAAGGTCCCAGTGGAAAAGTCGAACAAATGCAGCTCGGCATTTTCCTTGCAGAGAATTTCCTTGGCTTCGGGATGGGCTGCAGACGGCGGGGCAGTCGTCGGTTCCTCCTCGAGAGTGGCAGTCTTGATCTGTCCTTTGGACTGAGCGTATTCCACGTCTTTTGCCATGGCTGCAGCTGAATCTTCTGCTGTCAAGGAATTTCTGGTCGGCGAAGAGACCGGACTCGCAGATGGAATGGGCTTCTCTTCGTTGTATGAGAACTCCTCTAACTCTGCCTCGGTGGCTTTCTGTGCACTGCGGCGGTGTTTGCGTTCGTACTGACACTGGAGGGCGGCAAGCTCGAAAGTGGCAACTTTGTCCGATGGGACCGAAGAGTCGCAGATGAATTCAAAGAGATCACCAGCGTCGCCGCTCAGATCATCCCAAGCCAATATCTTTGCGCCTCCGTCACGCACTTCAGAGCGAAAGTGGAGGGTTTGGTCTAGGAGGAAAACCTTCTCGTCCTTATCTAGGCCGTCGCCCGCGCCTTGCTCGCTGTCGTCGTCCGCGAGTTCCTCCTCACCCTCTTCATAGGCTCTCTGGATTACGAGCTGGTATTGAAAGTCTTGGCCGGTACGTCGGATCGTGGCAGCAGCGTCCTTGAAGATAAGCTCAGAGTAACCTTTGGGCGACTGTGGGCGGACCAGATACAGCTCGCCTTGGGGGATTTCGATGATGGATTCTTTCGAAGCGTCACCGAACAAGAATTTGCTCACTGTCGAATTCAGAGAAGAGGAGAGATTAGTTTACTAGTTCAAAGGGGCAAAATAACAAAAAGTGCCCTTGTATGGAGGGGTCTGGCGGGGCATGAAAGGCGCGCGTTGCTTACCGTTGCGGAGCATAAACATGGTTGGTTGCGAGGGGCAGCTGCCAAACAAAAAGACTGAGAAACAGTTGAGAGGAAGGAAGGCGGGAATGAGTGAAGGGAAAGAAATATGGGAGAGAGCAAAAGAGGTGGACACAGTAGCAAAGGCCCTTCTGCCTATATGAAAAGGATAGTGAGAAAGAAGCAAAAGCAGGTCCCTCAAGTGCAAATAATCACAATGAAAATCGCTTCCGTCATAGATTCCAAGGTTGTGGCTGTTGTGGCTAATTGCTGAGGTAAGCACAATCGTCCTCCACGGCTATGCCTAAATAGGCAATATGCTCTTCTACATTCACGTCCACTGTCTTTCTTCATCTTCTCTTCAGGTAGAGCGAGGGTACACAGAAGGGATGATTGCTCTCAGATTTACCAAGGATTTACAAGGCAAAAATTTGTTCGTAAAGCATTGACAAAAGGAACAGTGGAGCTCAAGTACATTAAAAAGAGCCATGCAGACGGCAATCGATACAAGACGATTGATAGAAGCGTATGGCCATATCTCAATCACTGGCTGCCGCCCTTTGGGCGTTGTCAATATGTACAAGGTATTGGTTGGATAGCTTAAACTATTGCTTCTCTTCATTTTCGTCTTCGTCTCCTTCATCCAACGCTGCAATTTCTTCAAGCTGCTCCATCTGTTCTGCTTCCATATCTTCCTCGTTCACATCTTCATCAACATTCTCGGCGTCGTCCTCGCGCTCATTCTGATTTCCCTTCAAAGCGCCGCCTTTCCGGGTGGGAATAACCTTCATGAATGCCTTGCCCCAGTCACGAAGCTCTAGCCATTGAAGCATGATCTCAATGACATGGTTGGTGGCCAGTACCGGACGATGGGCCATTCGAATGTATTGCCCGATAGGCAATTTGGCAGTTTTGATGCCCTTCTCAACCGCCTGCTTGTAGCAAACTGCCTTGTGTCGGTTCTTATCCACTAGCGCTCCGACAATATAAGTGCTGTAAGGCTTCAGCTCGGTCAAAGTATTCTCACTATCACTACTGAGATAGATGATTTCACCGTCCTCCGGCTTCGCATCAGTTTGTTCAGCGAACGGTCCAGCGAGTTGACCTCCTCGCAGGGCTGTCATCTGTTCTTTGGCCAGTTCACCAGCATGCACAAAGTCTTCCTGCAGAAAGCGGATGCGCTTCCAGTTCTTGTGGGATACCAATATGGTATCGAATCGCTCTTTCAGTAATTTGTCGAACGACGAAAACATCATGTACCCGCTGTAGGGTGCGCGGCTGTTGTCCGAGTATGAGCGCGTGAGTTGGCCGGCTAGTGAGATGCGCTCTCTATCAGACATCAGCTCATCGTAGCCGCAATCCATCACGAACGTCAGAGGTAGGAGTGTTGACTTGGTGTGCTTGGCTTTTTTGCCTCGCCACAGCGCCCGCAGCTTGTTGACAGCTTCCTCGCCACCTTTTTCCCTTGTCTCCTCAATTATAGCCTTGCGACGCTCTCGCTTTTGTATGATCTTGTCCTTTTTCTGGGACTTTTGAAGCGCCCGCTTTTGCTGGTGAGCTTCCGCGCGGCGTAGTTTCTTCATTTGATTTTTCGACATGACAGGCGCGGTTGCCTCAGCGCCATCTTGGGTTGTAGATTCATTGGCTGTTTTTGTATCCTTTCGGACCGTAAATTCCGAGAGATGGAGAGCTTTGTTGCCAATTTGAGCGCATGCGGGCTCCGGTTCGTTGGCGGCAACATCAACGGCTCCAGTCATGGCAGGGCCGAGCACCTCGTAGGTGGTATCTTCGTCGTGGTCTAATTTGGCCAATTTCCGAGGCCGCTCTTGATCCTCCATCGTCGTCTAGTGGAATTGGCAAGCAAAAGATACAGGTCGGCTGTCGACTGTAGATCAAAAGTTCAATAAGTGTCCGCCCGGAAACTCATCAACCAATGACGTGCGCCGCAGCCCTCATTACTGTGCACACTTCACGTGACCCTCCAGACCCAACTTCTCCAATCGTCACAGCGGCTCCTCGCTATCCCTCCAAGCCCTTTACCCGCTCATTACCGTCACAATGCCTCAGGATATGCCCCCAACGGGGGGCTACGCTCAAGTCCAGTACAAGGTAAGCCATACAACCCAGCTTCCAGGCTCCCAATGGCCCTGCGCACCCGGCACACAGACATCCAAGCTAACGGTTTCGTTTCTTACTCTCTATAGCGGAACATCCCTGCCCGCGGCTTCAAGCCCGCCTACTACATGATCGGCATGCACGTCATCATGGCCTACGGTTTCTACAAGTACTTCCACGGTGTCCGTGAGCAGCGGTACGTTTCATCCGACAGGCTCCTTTCCTAACTCCGATCGACCCGAAAGAACCGCAATTGGAACCCGATACAAACCCGCTAGCGGGAGAAAGAAATGAACTCAATGACTGATATGTGTTTGGACGATAGTGAGCTCGCCCGTGAGAAGATGTGGTCCCGTCTGCACCTCACTCCTCTCCTCCAGGCCGAGGAGGACCGCGACCAGGTCCGCCGGCACTACGCCGACAAGGCGCGCGAGAAGGAGCTTCTCGGCACCGATGCCAAGGTCTACAACTCTGACCGGTATGTTTCATAAAATCGCACTTTGACGCTATATCATTTCCGGCATTGATTCTAATTTTGCTTGCCTTGACAGCTTTATCCGCCCTACTTTCGCCTATACCCCCGCCAATCTCACTCAATAGACAGTCTGACAATGTCAATGTCACACTTATTCTGAGCGATATTGTACCTCCGTTCCCTCCTTTTGACTCTGTATGATGCTGGTGTTTTGGGATGCTTGGGTGGGTGACCCCTTCCATGGTATACAGACTGAACTGGGCCTTCCTGATCGTTGTGGAGAGCTAGAAGCATTGTGGTGGTAGTGGGGGTAAACCGTCTCGAAGCCATCTCGAGGAAAACATTGTAGATATTACTTGCCTAGTGAAGGGTTTAGTTCAGTCTTTTGCAATATGTCTTATTTCTTTGCTCGTTCGAAATCTTCATCTTGTCGTAGAATACGAATAGGCTAATAGGAGGGAAGGTAATATATTTGTGCATAATAGTATCTAGTTTTATGATATCATCTCTCACAAAGCGCCGCTGCTCGCTAACGACGGGGGTAGTTGATAAAGCTGCGACGCGGATCCAGACAGAAAGCACTGCAAAATGGGCCGGGCTGCAAATGGTGTACAGAATGGAGATGTGGACCATCCATGGTATGTAAAATGAAGAATCAACAAGCTGGGCAGCACCACAGCATATCCCACGCAGTCCAAAAAGCAGATGATGCTTGGCCTATCCAAATAGATCAGCCACGCCACCGAGATCGGGGCCATCGTTAATATCGACACGGTGGTCATGTTGCTGGGTGTCCATCTCATTGGTCATGTATCTCTCCTGCAATGCTGAACGGGCCTTGCGACGCTCCTCGCGAGAACCCAGTATCTTTCCTTGCTCGGCAACACTGATGCCGCGCAAGGGCTCAAGAAGCTCCAAGACTAATGCGCGCTGCTGTCTTGGTGAGGTAGTCTGATGAAGTGCAGACTCAGTATTGGCCACTTTCTCTGCGCTGATTCCTGGCAAGCTCAGGAAAACAGCACGAGGAGTCTCGCTACAGAAGCCATAGAGACACCAAATCGATGCAATTAGCTGGGCGAGGTCCTTTTGCATATCAACAAAATATGATTCATGTACGGATGAAATGCATGCTGTGAGGACATCGGTACATATGAATTCGCGGATGGTCGCGATGGTTGGGGTGTCCGGGGTATCGTTCGTGGGCGCAAAGTCTTGCAGAATTGACCGAATTACGCGGGTGATAATGCTACCGCTGCGTGTATCGCGCATACGAAGAGCGTGCGTACAGAAGAGCATGACTGGCTCAAAGATTTGGGGGGACGAAAGGACAAAATGGCGGATAGAATCAGAGAGGTTCGGAGTCGGCTGGGGTGCGCTGGGATCCGATTCAGTCCCATCTGGGTCTGAGATGTCACGTTCCGTCAGTATCGGGTGGTTTATGCTTATGAGTAGCCGGCGGGTCAGGGAGTATTTACCACCTCTCTGTGGATCGAATAGACTGGCTACCATGATCACGGCAGAGTAAGTCAACTGGCGAAGGACACTTTCGGACTTCATCTCCGTCGTGAGATCTCCGTCCGAAATTCCGTTCCTGCGTTGTTCAATGATTTCCCATTCTGTGGTGACTTTCCGATCAATGTTGGTGAACAGAGTCGACAACATTGGGGGCAAGAATTGGCTGCGGAATTGCACAGGGCAGTCGTCAATCAGACAACGCGAGATGTTGAGAAGAACCGAGAACTGATGGGAGGAGAGATGGGGTGAGTCAACAAACAGTGCTTCAGATAGGGGTCCCGGGAGTTCGGCGAATCCATAGAAGTGCTCTCGCATCCTGCTCATGCTGAATAGCATGGAGTAGCACGCCTCGCGGACAGCTCTGACCTTTCCTCGGACCGATGATGCAAACCCTTCAAGTGTAGACTTCGACGATGTGATTCTGGCATAGAACTCATCGCGGCTACCGACAGAAATACCAGCCTGCCAAAATCGATCTGTGAGGATACGTTCGACTACTGGTTGCATGCCTTCGACCATATTCCAATTGGTAGGGTTATGAAAGGCATGGGCGTTCCTTGAAATTGAAAGTTAGCTTGATGGCATGATCTGCATTAGCATAGATAATTACCTGACAAGCTGCAGCAAAGTGGGAAGAATGATAGGGATCAATTCGTGCCACATCTCACAGGCGGTCGCATAGGCTGGCGTGGACTTTTTAACTCGATCTGTGGAAACAGCCAACATAGTCTTGGTGCCACGCAATGGCAACAGCTAGAACATAATGGGTCAGATTCGCCCTAGCACAGGAAATGAGGTTGGTTTCTTACCTGGAACTTTCTGGTCATCTCTTCTTGGACTAACCTTCCTTCGTTGTCCAAGGCGACATCGGACCAGTCTGCCAGTTTCTGTGCTTCCTTGGATTGCATGTA